ACCATGCTCCTCATGCCTCCTTCCTCCTCCGCCATCACCACCACGTCATCCGCGTATGTAAGTGAGTAAATTTTTTCTTCTCCCAGCTTTATCCCTCCCCATTTAACCTTTCCCATTTCTTCCTCTAGGTCTGCTAATAATATATTAAATAGATCCGCGCTTAATGGGCACCCTTGTCTCAATCCTCTTGCTGTCCAAAATTCCCTTCCTACTTCCTTTCCTATCCTTACCCTACTTGTTGTTTCTCTCATTATCTCGTCTACTCTCTCTATTAAGCCCTCTCTTATTCCCTTCTTCTTCATCGCTTCTATCAGTATCCCTCTATCCACCGAATCATAAGCTGCTTTCATGTCCACGAATAGTGCAATTAACTTCCTTCCTTTCCTCTTTAATTGCCTGTTGATTAGGTAATTTAATACGTATACACTGTCTATTGTTCCCATCCCTTTCCTAAAGCCCGTTTGTGTAGGTGATAATATCTCTTTCTCTTTTATTTCGTCCCTTAATCTATCCGCTAACACCGATGCATATATTTTGTATAATGTTGGCATAATTGTTACTCCCCTGTATTCCTCTACACTACCTCCTTGCCCTTTCTTTACTATCGGCACTATCATTCCTTCTTTCCACCCCTCCGGCCATCCCTCGCCTTTCCATATCTTATTGCATACCTCTCCAATCCATCTTTCTAATTCTACCCCTCCATACTTCCACACTTCATTTGGTATCCCGTCCTCTCCTGCAGCTTTTCCATCCTTCACCTTACTTATTGCTCTTCTTATCTCTTCCCTCTCTATCTCCTTTTCCTCTCCCTTTCTCTCCCCCCTTTTCTCACCCCATATCACCTTGTTTTCCACTCCTCCCAGCAAAGTTTTGAAATACTCTTCCCATTGCCTCATTTCTATTTCCCCGTTTATCCTCTTCCTTTTCTTTCTTTCTGCGTTCACTACCCTCCACACCTTTTCTTCTGTGTTCGCTTCTTCCGCTTCTTTTTCCAATTTCTTGTTCTCTTCTTCTTTCTTCCTTTCACATAACTCCTTGTACTCCTTCCTTTTTCTTCTGTATTCTCTCCTCTCGCCTTTTTCTCTCATCCACTCTTTTAAAGCTTTCCTCGCCGTCCTCTTCACTTCCTTGCATTCTTCATCCCACCATCCTCTCCTTTTTCCTCTTCCTATATCTCTCTTTTCTTCTACTTTCTTTATTGCTTCTCTAATTCTTTTTTCTATTCCACCCATTTCTTCTTCTAACCTTCCTTCTCCTATTCTTATTTCTCCTAGATTCTCTCTAAATTCCTCTCTCCCCTCCTCATCCCACACACCTCTCCCTCCCTCTCTTCTCGCCCTCGACCTTCTTACTTTCTTATTCCTGCGCCCCTTCAACCATACCACTACTGGTTGATGGTCCGAATCAATCCTGTCTACTATTTCCATTCTCTCTATTTCCTCCTCCGCCTCTTCCTCTACTATCACGTAGTCGATGACTGATTCGCCTCTTCCTCCTGAGTATGTCCAGTTTCCCTCCCTATCTCCTCTCTCTCCTCCGTTTAAAATAAACCATCCTCTTTCCTTTATACTTTGAATCAGTTTCCTTCCTTCTTATTAATCTTTTTATCCTTCGAGCATCTCTTGAATTCCCACTCATCCGCTCCTTCTATACTTTCCCTTCCCCCTTCCTCTCCCGTCCTCGCATTGAAATCTCCCCCTATTATTGTTCTTACCCCTTCCTCTTTTTGATCCATCCAACCCTCCAGTGCACTTAGCTTCTTCTCCATGTCCCCATTCACGTATGTTCCTACCACCCTGACTATCTTCTTGCCTACTTTTATCTTACCTACCATGATTCGCTCTGACTCCTCCTCTCTCTCAGTATCCACTATTGCTACCTTATTCCTTATACCTAAAATCATTCCCCCCGCTGCCCTTCCCTTCTTGTTCTTCTTCATTGCCGCTTGCATCCTCCATTTGAATCCATCTGGCAGTTTATCCCTCACCTTTTTCCACCCTTTTTCTTCCACCCACGTCTCCATCATCACCATTGTGTCCCAGTTCTCCAGATCTCTCCAAAATTCTCTGTCCTTATTATTCATACCTGCTACGTTCCAAAAAGCTACTTTTATGCTCTCCCCATCCTCTCTTCTAATCCTGTCTGCTTCCTCCTCTTCTCCCTTACCTTTCTCTATTTCTTGCTCCTCCTCCCCCCTGGTTCCTCTTCGCATCTTCTTCACTCTATCTCTTACCTCCCTTCTCTCCTCTTCCTCCACTCTCCCCCCTCTTTCCTTTCTTTCTTTACCTCTATTATATCTCTTCCCCTCTCCTCCTTTCGTCTTCCTCTCTGTCTCGTATCTCCTCTTCTCTTCCTCTCTCTCCTCCCCTACCTCATTTATTCGCCCCCCTTCTCTTTCCATACCATCCCTTCTCGGTCCTTTAATACTTCTTCTTCCTCATCCCACCTCCACCATTTCCCTTCTATCTGAATCCGTCCGTATCTTAGCCACACTCTTCTACCATTTTCTTTTTCCTTTCTTGCTATCTCTTCCAATTTCCATCTCATCCTTCTTTGTTTCCACGTTAGATCATCTTCGATTCTTATTCCCTTTTCTCCTATCTTTCTTCTTTCTCTCATCAGTCTCTTTTTCTCCTCCAATTCTTCTATCCTTACCACTACTAATTTTACCTCTCCTTTTCCTTCTTCTATCCTTTTAATTTCCAACCCTTCCTCTTTTATTCCATTATCTTTCATTATTTTCTTAATCTCCGTCTCTACTTTCTCTTTTCCGCCTCTTATCCCTCTTACTACTACATTCCTCCTTCTCTTTTCTCTCTCTCCTCCCTTTCCAGTCTTATCTCTATACCTTTCATCCTCCCTTCCATCCTCTTCACCTCCTCGTTTACTTCTCCTCCGTTTCCATTCGATCCTTGAACCTTCGCCTCTATCTCTTCCATTTTTCTCTCTATCCTTTCTATGTGTTTCTTCATCTCCTCCTTCTCCTCCATCCACCTCCTCATTTGATCCCTCCCTTCTCTTATTATTTCCTCTCTTTCTTCTCTTGCCTTCCTCTCCCTCTCTCTAAATTCTTCCTTCAACTCTTCTATCATCTTTCTGCTATCTTCCCTTACCTCCCTCCTCAGCTCCTTCATCATCTCCCTTAACACTTCCTCTAAGCTATTCTCTCCTTCCCCTACCCTCTCCTTCGGCGATCTCACTGTTTTCCTACTCTTCCTAAATACGTCCTCCCCTCCACTACTATCTAACTCTGCTCTCTTCCTTTTCCATATTTCTTCTAATGTTCCTGTACTCCCGCTTCTTCTCTTTTCTTTTATTCTCTTTATTCTCTCTAATTCTATTCTATCCTCTTGACTCTCCCCGCCGTTTTCTTCCATTTCTAGCTCCCCTCCCTACTCTTTCTCTACTCCTACTCTATGGCCCGCCTGTACTGCCCGCTCTCCCTATCCAGTTTCCCCTCTGTGCTCTTCCTACTCTATGCCTTCTGGCGCTCGCGCCTGCCGCCGCTCCTACCACTCCCACTACCTCTCTCTACGTTTCTTGTTCCGTGCCCTAACCTGTCTCCTCTCGCTCTCTCCTATCTTCTCTTCTCCCGAATTCCTTTCTGTCCGCCCTTTATGTCCCTCCTCTCCCTTCGTCCCTTTTCCTTCACACTCTCACCTCCACTCACTCTCGCTCTCGCTTCGCTCCTCTCACTCTCTCTCTCGCCTTCACAATTCTCACTCTATTCTCGCACGTGTCACTCTCGATCACACCGGAAACGGAAGTCTCTAAATTCTTAATAATTAACGCAAATTTGACGGATTTCTTTTATTAAGGCGAAAGCGGAGGCGCCAAAGGTCGGTCTGTTACAGTGGTTGCCTCGGCTGTCGCGTAATTAATCCAGAAACGGTAATAGGAAAGTTTGAGAAAATAAGAATAGAGAACGTATGTGATCACGTGCTGCGCGCGTGCTACGTGCCGCGTCGCGCCGGTGCTATCTATCGGGTGGGCGATCATTAATGCTTCCTGAATAGTGACGTCTGACGAAAAATAATTCGTCGGACGTAACACAAGCATTACAGAATATCCCTCCGGGGAAAAGACCTTACAGAATCTCACAAGTGGGATTAAGGCACGCGCCCACATAGAGGACTCGAAAACGAAGTGTCGCGAGTAGCCCCGAACGAAATCGGAGCACGCGACGCAATCGTGAACGGCAAGTGCGCATCGGACCGAGATAAGATCGCGGACGAAATCGGAGCACGCGGCGTAACGGAAACGCGCGAGTGCAAGTCGGGCCGCGAGGTAAGATCGCGGACGAAATCGGAGCACGCGGCGTAACAGAAACGCGCGAGTGCAAGTCGGGCCGCGAGGTAAGATCGCGGACGAAATCGGAGCACGCGGCGTAACAGAACGTGCGAGTGTAAATCGGACCGCGAGGTAGGATCGCGGACGACCTGGGCCTGGCGGGCTGGGATTCCCGTCAGGCCCTGCCTCCACGGAGGCGGGCGGTAGAGGTTGTGGACGCCTCTGCCGCCCAAGAGAGTAGTGGACTCCCCCTGCGGGGAGGAGTCCCCCTCCCCCCACATCACCGGGGGAGGGCGCGCGAAGGCCCGCCTGTCAAACGGCGGGCCGGTGCGGGGGCGTCCGAGAAGTAATGGCTCTGCCAAGTCCTGGGCGTCCCCCGAAGTTACAGCACCGCGCAATCCACCGTGTGGTTTTAGTGAGGTAAGCCCAGCGGCCGCAACGTTAGCGGTCGCAGCCGATCGACACTAGG